ATCACGGACCCGCACGGGTAGGCGTCTGAAATGGAGCGCTTCATCTGTATGCAAGAGCCCTCTTCCTAGACTTCTCAGCTGCAACACAATACAAGCAGACATCTTGGTGTCAAAAATGGCCAAAATGGAAGTAAATCCATACCTGATTTACTGGTATGCCGCTTTCCTCACCAGTAGAGAGCAACTTGTGAAGGTTAACAAAACCCTGTCATCTGCCATCACAACCAATGTAGGGGCCCCTCAGGGCTTCGGGAGTTCAGCTGTGCTCTTAGCTTCTTTTGATGACTTTACTGAGATGCTGTCTATAGTGTGTTTTGACTTTGACCATCTAGTCAGTGTTGGTGATTTTAACATCCATGTTGACAACCCCCAGGACAGAGGGGCTGTCTTGATAACTATGGACTGACTCAGCATGTGACGGAGCCCACGCACAATAAGGGGCACACTCTGGACTTAATGATCTCAAAGGGTCTGAATATCTCTGAGGTTGTGGTGACTGATGTTGCGCTCTCTGATCATTCCTTTGAGAGCTCTATTTCTGTTCACACAAATGTTCAAAAAGAGGTAACCACAAAGCGATATTTAACTGAAAATACTAGGGAAATGTTTACTCTGAATGTTTCTTCCACACTTGCCCCTGCTAACATCTCAGTAAATGAGCTAGTAGATCATTTTAATTCAAAAATTAAAATGTTATAGATGCCATTGCTCCAACTAGGGTAAAGGAAGTGACTGGCAAGAAAATATCTTCATGGAGAAAGGCCATGACCGTGAGAGAAGAAAAAAGAGAGTGTTGAAAAGCTGAACGTAGGTGGAGAAAACCAAATCTCCAAGTTAATTTTGAAATCTATAAAGAGAGACTTGGCTTTTATAATTTGGAATTGAAAATTGCCCGACAATCTTTCTTCTCTGACATCATTGCCAAAAACAAAAACAACGCACGTGCCTTGTTTGCTACCGTCGACAGACCAACTAACCCCCCAGTGTCAGTAGCCTCTGAGCTTCTATCCACCAGGGCGTAAAATGATTTTGCCTTCTTCACTGACAACATTCAGAGAATCAGACAAGCAGTCAGTGCCTCTGCATCAGGTACAGCAAATGTGTTGTCTCTGTGTCCACTTAACATCAATTCAGACACCATGACACAGTTCCATCAGATTAATGATAAAAACCTAGAGGACATTATACAACATCTAAAATCCTCCTCCTGCTGCTTGATATTATTCAACAGGATTTTTCAAAGATGTTTTTCCGTGCATGGCCCTCAGATTAATTCATATAGTTAAAAAAGGTCTTAACTCAGTGTTTTTCCTACAGGCTCTGAAAGACGCAGTACATAAACCCGCTCTAAAAAAAGAATAATTAGACGCTTCAGTAATTGAACAATAAGAACCATACAAACCTTCTATTTATTAGGTAAAAAACTATAGTAACGCAGTGTGTAACGCAGCCGCCCTCTGCGGGCTCGCGCCGGCTCTCGGCGCGCGGCTCTGCGCCGGCTCTGAGCCCCTCTGCGCCGGCTCTGCGCCGGCTCGCGCCGGCTCTGCGCCGCTCTGCGCGGCTCTGCGCGACTGCGCTTCTGCGCCTCTGCGCCGGCTCTGCGCCGGCTCTGCGCCTGCGCCGCTCTGCGCCGGCTCGGCTCTGCGCCGGCTCTGCGCCGGCTCTCGCCGGCTCGCGCCCTCTGCGCGGCTCTGCGCCGGCTCTGCGCCGGCTCTGCGCCGGCTCTGCGCCGGCTCTGCGCCCGCTCAGCGGCTCGCGGGCTCTGCGCCCGCTCAGCGGGCTCTGCGCCGGCTCTGCCGCCGCTCGGCTCTGCGCCGGCTCTGCGCCCGCTCAGCGGCTCTGCGCCGGCTGCGCCGCTCAGCGGCTCTGCGCCGGCTCTGCGCCGGCTCTGCGCCGGCTCAGCGGCTCTGCGCCGGCTCTGCGCCGGCTCTGCGCCAGCTCAGCGGCTCTGCGCCGGCTCTGCGCCCGCTCAGCGGCTCTGCGCCCGCTCAGCGGCTCTGCGCCGGCTCTGCGCCCGCTCAGCGGCTCTGCGCCGGCTCTGCGCCCGCTCAGCGGCTCTGCGCCCCCGCTCAGCGCTCTGCGCCGGCTCTGCGCCCGCTCGCGGCTCTGCGCCGGCTCTGCGCCCGCTCAGCGGCTCTGCGCCGGCTCTGCGCCCGCTCAGCGGCTCTGCGCCGGCTCTGCGCCCGCTCAGCGGCTCTGCGCCCGCGAGCGAGCGGCTCTGCTGTACACTTTACGAATATAATAGTTTTTTATGGACAACTTTACCATTCAATCTCGTCCAACTGATTTTGCTGCCGTCACTCCTCGGCTCTTGGTAGTTCAGGCATTTATCAAACCTGGCAACTCCGGGTTTCCTGGCAGCTGTCAATCAAAGTCCAGTGGCTTCGCCCCAAAGTGCCAGAAACTTTTCACGCACGCGTAGACAGACTCCGCGAGGCTGATACTCCCGCGAGCGAGCAAGAGGGCTGTCTCTCTCGCGAGCGAGCGCAGAGCCGCTCGCGGGGGTTTAATCTGCGCGCGAGGGTCATTTTATGCGCGTGTAAAAGCACATTTTCCGCTCGTGAGTAGCTTGTTTTACGCGCTAGAATATTGACCCAAATCTGACTCCATAGTAGGCCGTTGTTGCTCTTTATAAGCAAAAACACCAGAGGCCTGTACTACGAAGCAGGATTTTCGCTTAGCCGGCTAACTTCAGGGAAAACTCGGGGTTTCCGGTCCTACGAAGCTGGTTCTCTTTTTAGCAGGCTCGATCTCCATGGTAACTTATGCTTAGCGGCTAACCTGGTCGGGACCAGGTTAGGTTGCAGGCTAAGAGCTCAACTCAGTGAAAGCACTGCCTGCTGACCAATCAGAGCTCAGTGTGCAGAGTTTAAAGCGATCAAGTCATATTACAGGAGAAAGGAAATACAGAAAAACTGCCGTTGCAGGAAAGACGGCCGGCAAAAATCAGCGACTGTGTGAACGTGAACATTAATAGAATATCAGCTCCATCTTCAGAGCAATCTGACTATTATAACATTAGCGTTAAGAAAGCTTACTTAAAGATCTGCCACAACATAAGTAACCGGATCAGAGTAACAGTACAGTCTGCAGCATATCACACCATAATGTATCATATATTTTCTTATCTGAGTCAGCTGAGCCGTATCTGGCCGTGCAACACTCACAGTGTCACATACTGTATGCAGAAGTATTATTTCACATAATACTCCAAATACCACCCCTTTCATGTGAACGCGCACCTAACTAGATAGGACACGGCTGGCTTGAGCGATCCACTTGATAACCCGCGTCGTAGTACCGTTTAGCGAGAGTGCGTATGTTTTGGATTAGGCCAACCGGCTAACTCAAACATATCCAGGTTAGGTTGAACCAGCTTCGTAGTACATGCCCCTGATGTTATGTTATATGTTTGTTGTTTGTTTCTCATGTATTGTGTTTGTCTTATGTGTCTATGTTGATGTTACACATGGAGCTGCTGTGATGCAAGTCACATTTCAGACTTGATCTGACAATTAAAGAATCATAGACAACAACGTTCTAACCTCTATCTAACCATATTGAACATTCATATTGTATATTTCAAAACAGGTTGTGATCTTTCATTTGGGGATAACAGTATTAGGCATTCGTGAGGTGCAACAACATTAACATGAACCTTTCTGTTGGCTGCTGCTTGTTAGCAGACCCTCCACGCAATAGCAGAGCGAACAGGTACAGCAAGCGAGGGATCATTAGGCGCATTCACACTGCGGTACTTTTCCCACAAAGGTTCATGTGAACTAAGTACAGATCGCGTTCACACTGGAAAAAGTCCGTGGGGGTGGATTAGGCAATGAAGCCGCTGATGTCACTTGTTCTTCTTCTGCTTTGGGTTTACTGGCAGGCCGCAAACCACTTCAAGGCGTTTACTGCCGCCCAAAGTCCCCGGCCGGAAGTCCCCGGAGTTGGGGACTGGCTTCAGTAGAAACTGCTGGGAGTCCCAGCAGCTTCTACTGAAGCCTTCCGAGTAAATCGCCAGAACGCCGACACCTCCTCATCTCCACCGCTCCCATGTTTTATTTTGTGTTGCCATAAGTTAGTCTCTCTGCGTTTCTGCGCTGGGCTAATGTTAATAATGCTAATGCGAGGATAATAAAATGGCGGCTTCACAAAACTTTTTGGGAGTTTTACGGGGCGTGGTTTGCAATCCGCCCAGCCAATCAGAAATATAGCTCTTTTCTCACAAAAGAGCCGCTCGAAAGTCCCTGCTTTCTAGCAGGGACTTTCGAGGGGGTAAAAAGGTTCACATGAACTAATTTTAGTACCGGCTCTTTTTGGTGTGAACGCGATAAAAGAGTTCACATGAACTAAGTTCACATGAACCTTTGTGGGAAAAGTACCGCAGTGTGAATGCGCCTATTGTCCACTAGTAAATCGATTGCAGATGGCGTCGTGCTCACGGACAGATACAAAAATAATAATGAATGGGTCGGGAAATATACTTTGGTGGCCGTTAAACCTGGGCGGCCCAAGTAAAGTCTATGTGAGGGAAACCCTGGACTTGAATTTTGAATTGAGCCATCCCTTATAGATACCATCTCTTTACGTATTAGTGATGGGAATCCCGGCTCTTTTTAGTGAGTCGGATCATTTGGCTCGGCTCACTAAGAAGAGCCGGCTCTTTCGGCTCCCAAACGGCTCTTCATGTTACCACAGTTTACCAGAGCCTCAATTTCGCCGCTGCGAGGCTCCGGCGCTCGCAGTTCACGCGCGTGCTCCACTAGCACAGGAACACACTTTTGCTGGCGGTGAAAAGAATCCCACCAGACTCCTTTTCCACTCTAACAGAGGGATGTCCTTGTCCTTTTTCGTAATTTCAAGCGATAAAAAGTCTTTTGGACGCCCTCGGCTCGAGTTCAGGGCGTTCCGAGCTGAATAAGGGCGTCAAATGGCGGCAAGACACCCGCCTGGCGGAAACGCTGGAATTAGGAATATATTGTGATGAAGTGCACACTGACCTGAGCTCCAGGGGTCTCCTTGTTCTCCTCCATAATGCTCCCAGTTCTCCTTCTCCGGCTGGGTCTCTGAAATAATCAACACAACTACAGCTGACACAAAACAAGACAACTCAATACAACCGACAGACACAACAAAACTAATCTACAGCTACTTCGTAGGTTCATAGCAGAGGTGAGAAGTAACTAAGTACATTTACTCAAGTACTGTACTTAAGTACTATTTAGAGGTACTTTTACTTTACTTGAATATTTCCATGTAATGCTACTTTGTCTGCAACAATAGGAGACAGTAATAAAGCTGCTTCACTGAAGAGGAGAAACTCACAGCTCCAGGACTCTGTAAGTCAGGAGGAGACTAGAAACAACAAGTCAATAAACTGAGGATTCATCCTGTAACATAAAAGGAGTTACCCAACAGAAACCAGTATGCTAACGGTAATAAAGAAGAGTTACCGTACTAAAACAATATGCTGAAGGTAAAAGGGGAGCGTTCACTCAAACTAAACGGTATGCATATAACTTATGGATATACTGTGGGATAAATAATGTTAGAGAAAGTAATTATTAAGGTATCACACACACACCTACCTGCTTTTAAGCTGGAAACACTGAGAAGACCACAGAGCTGCTTCAGGTCCTCTCTGGGAACACTGGGTCCTGATGAAGACCACAGAGCTGCTTCAGGTCCGCTCTGGGGACACTGGGTCCTGATGAAGACCACAGAGCTGCTTCAGGTCCGCTCTGGGAACACTGGGTCCTGATGAAGACCACAGAGCTGCTTCAGGTCCTCTCTGGGAACACTGGGTCCTGATGAAGACCACAGAGCTGCTTCAGGTGGAAAACTGTCAGGAGTGAAGAGGAGGAATTCAAAGAGTTTTATTCAATGATATGTTCTATTTCTAGATGTTTATATGTAGTGTGTTATCACATCATGTGCAGTGCCTTGTCTCATCTATGCTGCTGTGACGTAAACATGTTCCAAATTGATCCATTTAGTCAATGTGATGTTAAGCAGAGGAGAAAATTATAGAAAGGTCAGATAGTTATAATTCATCATAATCTGTGTAGCAACTTACATTCTAACTTACAGCTCAGTTTGTTCACTTTTGTTTCATTAAAATGACTTTATTCACATAGAAAGTGACATTAACGGTTGTTTGAACCACGGTTATAACGCTATCTGTGTCATTAACTATCACTAAGTTAACACAGAAAGCAAACATTAGCAAGTAAGACTGTTTAATGTACTCCATGTATACAGTATTTTCTGTATATTGTGTATTCTTTAGATACTCTAGTGCAGTGGTTCCCAAACTTTTTGTGCCCAAGGCACACCAAAGGACAAGTACAAATCTCAAGGCACACCTATTGTGCAAAATAGCCCTTATAACACGTGTTATCACTCATATCATGTAAAATATCTGTAAATGTGCATAATTATTTACTAATGCCAAATAAAATGTGACAAAGACAACTATATTACTCATGAAATATTTATTAACGAAATATTTCAGAAATTAATTTGAAACTTTATCAAATTAGGCTTCATCAAAGCAGCAACACACTCATTTAAACCAGACAGGTCACAAAATAAAAAATGAGGCAAAGGAAACTCAGCAGAAATTCAGCACAGAGAACTGTCAATGCAAGGAAGCTGCATTGTCCATGGTCCTGAACTACAAATTATAAATGTAACATTTCAGCAATCAGCATTGAAACATGTGCTATTGTAAATATTTTTGCCGACTTACAAATTAGTGAGATACATGTGCCTGTCGGGGCGCGCAGAATGTTTTAATCCTTGGTGGCACTGAGGAGAGGGCCACTCGCTTGTCCTGTTCAACAGAGAGCCGTGACCTCCTGTTGTTCTTCATGTAAACCAGAGTAGAGAACGCCAACTCCAGAGATGGGGTCGTTATATATTACATATTACTTTTTTTAAAAAGTAATATATTACACTACTTCGTTACCATCTACATAAAGTAACTCGTTACTTTACTCGCCGAGCACGTACGAACTGCGCATGCGTGAGTGGCAATAACTTTCCTTACCAGCAGGCGGCGGTAGTGTGTATTTGTCATTCAAAACAGGCAACAACCGGAAGACAGAGAAGAAGAAACAGACTACGTGATATAAACAAAAAAGCATGTGTTCTTTGCAGGTGCTTGTTGAGGTTTGACTTGGTGTTTACAGCAGTGGATAACAGCTTCTGGCCTGGACACAGTTTGCACCTCACCGTCACATTCCTGTCTATTCTTCGGACGAACTCAAAATAATGGGCATACCTCCACCCCTCGAAAGTTATCGCCGACTCAGCATGAAATGCAGCACTGCACGTTGAGATGTGGACGCGCAAGTCGCGCAGATTGCGTACATATAAACCTACAAAGTACTGATATAGTAAATTTAAAAATAATTATTTTTGTGTAGTTGTATATTGCAATAATAACGTATGGTTGTCACAAAATCCCACGGCACACCCGGACTTGCCTCACGGCACACCAGTGTGCCGCGGCACACCGTTTGGGAACCACTGCTCTAGTGATATGTGTCCCGTGTGTAAACTTGCTGCTAATGCTTCATTTTTATTATATCTTATTGTATCTTTTAAATATGCTTAACTTGTGTAATGCCTGAAAACACTTCTGCTGTGACACAATCGTTCTCTCAGTTTAAGGTAAATAATTATTTAAATAAAGTATATCTATTTATCTAATGAGCCTAAACCGTCGCTTAGCTTAGCGTTAGCAGCTAACTGAAGAACCCCCATTCATTTCAATGGGAAAAATGCTGCGTCACAGAATGGCGATGCCGAATAAGCTATATTTAAAACTATATCTATGGTAAAGAGCACCAACACACCAACTCAAACTGTTCTTAAAGGACCAACTGGTGTAATAATAACTATAAAAGTCAGCTTAGCTTTACAATCAACTGTCCTCACCAGAGCCGACCTGGAATAACTAACTGTCGCTGTTAGCTGTTAGACTTTAAGACTTTAGCTGTTAGCCGATAGCTTTTAGACTTTAGCTTTTAGACTTAAGACTTTAGCTTTTAGACTTTAGCTGTTAGCCGATGGGTTTTAGACTTTATTTAAAGATTTGAGACTATTTTTGGCGCACATTTTAAAGTTTTTTTTATTTGTTTCTTCTTCCAATATTACAGCTGTGTTAAAAAGATAACTTCTGATTCGTGATTAACTGTAAACTAAG